GAGTAATTTTCTTTACCCAATACTGATTGTTTGGCTTTATTGTTCACAAGTGGGCATTTGTCTTTGGCTTCACTACATAATTTTATTTAACACCATTACGTATTGCATGTAAAAAAACAAGCAATACAAGACATTCAACGTCCCATTTATCACATAAAAAAAATAAAATGAACTCTACTCAGATGACTTGGACCAAGCAACATAGGTGCATGTAAAGCATTTTTGTAGCTGCTTTGCTAAAGTATCCAAGATCATATTCTTATGATGATGATGACGATGATGATGATTTCCAACATAATTTGAAAATGTTAAAATTTTTAAGTGACAGAGATTGAATCTCAGATGTGGTCAGTGGGTGTTTACAGTGTGTAGGGACAATGAGTAAAGGCCAATCAGAGAATGTTTTACGATGTGTGTGCACAGGTTGATTGCACAGATTGACAGCTTTCACAGTACATTTAAGGTTCACCCCAGAAAAGAAGCACAATTAAATGATCAGCTCTCTTCTACTGGGATCTTATTACTTTTTACCTTTTAAAATAATGATTTTACATTATTTTGACATCAAATAATCTTTGTCATCTATGGAAGCTAATCCTACAAAATGTTCTGGTAACACTTTATTTTAATGGTCCATTTGAGTATTAGTAGACTGTCTGCTTAATGTCTGTTGATACTGCTATTTCAACAGACATTTAACTGACTATAAGAAACTTTGAGCACATGTCAACTTACACTGTAAGTAACTGTAACCTAACAGTCTACTTATAATCCACTGAGAATTAGTTGGCATGTAGATGCAATCTAACTTAAATTCAACAAATGGACCATCAAAATAAAGTATGACCAATGTTCTTATTGTGGAAAATAGGTTTAAATGTTTTTCACACTAAGAAAAAAAATGGGTATTTATACTATATATTACACACAAACACAGTATAACCAAGCATTGTCATTCTGAATGAAAACCGATTTTTTTGGAACTTTTATTTATTTATTTATTTATTTTTGTCATAATTTTTTTAATCTTGCAAATAGCATTTTACATTTTGCAACAACCCACACTCCATACGCTATGGCGAGTGGGCAGTACTGCCTAAAATGAAACAAAATCTCTTATCGGAAAACAATAAACACAATTATCCCAGACATACAGTAGCATTATATTAGATTTTAGCAAATATAAACACAAAACATGAAGAAAACATTCCACAGAGAAACAGCCACCCGCAGCATGCAGTCTTCCACATTCAGAATTGGCCGCTACAGAGAATGAAGCTCGGCTTCCCCCTAACGGAAATGTTATTCCTAATTCAGAGAATTTCCCTAAGTACTGCGGTGAACCACGGTTAGACATGGCATTCGGTTCTCTGAGACGTGCATTTCTAAAGGCCCCATCTGTACAATCCTATCTACAGTAACCCCACCAAGCAAAACAATCCACAATTAAAGATGAAAAATCTGAATAATATCTGAAAAAATAATAATAATAAATACATTAAAATAAAATAAAATAAATACAAATACAGAAATACAAATAATAACAAACAATATACATACATGGACATATACCTTCACTCAATCCACATCTAAGGTTGTTAAATCATTAAAAAATGCTATAAATTGTTCTCCCCTGCCTTTGACATTGAATTTAATTTTATCGAGTTTTAAAAAGAAGACCGAACCTTTGAGCCACAATGAAATAGAAGAGGGGTTGTGGTTATGTCCAAGACAACAGTATTCTGCATCTTGCGAGAAGAGATGCAAAAGCACAATGTCAGCGTGTCTCTGGTTTAAAGGCTGACACTGAGAGGGAACACCAAAGAATGCGAGCAAACAGCTAACTTGACCTCCAGAATATCAGAATATTTAGGTTTTGCAAACGTAAGTGGATTGCAGACGGTTGAAACTCAAATCTTGCTGCAGCTTGTTTTAAAACTATGTAAAATGAGTAAACTGCTTAATAGATTCAGGTGTCTCAAATGAGCCTTTTCTTCATCTCTTTCTCTTGAGGTGAATTTGCATTTAGTGTGTCACACAGTCTGTCAATTATGTGAGGTAAGAATGACATTTGTTCTCTTGGGGTGGTTTGATTCCCTGTTTATCAGCTGTTTATTAAATCTGTGAGTGTTAGGATATGTTGTTAGTAAGTCTGTCAATGAGTCATAAATGCAGCATCAGTAAAAAAAAAAAAAAAGTCACCATCATATTTATCATTCTGAAATTAATCATTGCCTAATCCACTCATTAAATGCAGATTCTGAATGAAACTAATCTTTGTTTCTAGTATTTTCCCCTGACTTGCTTTAAAAAAGCAACAACAAAAACAAAACAGACATTTGATTGATTGGTCATAGACGAGGAAACTTTCAAGAGGGTTTTAATTAGCCAGTGCTGTATACGAAGATAGAAATATCTGACAAAGTAAAGAGATTACTTTTCCAGAGAGGAAATAAAAAGGTAAAATGTAGATGTTGCTTTATTCATGAATCCAACAAAACGGGTGCATCAGCACTATGGATATGCAATAAGTGCAACAGTAAGTCAGAAGTTTTAAAAAGCATTCCACAGCAATAAAACCAGGAAGAAATGCAATGGAAAAGTCAATTGAAGGTAAAAAAACGAATGCAATCTTAACTTACTTATTCTGTTTTTACTTATTATCAATATTCTGCTTTATGAAGACAGATAGCCAAAGACAGAGAATTGTTATTTATTTATTTTTTGTTAGTAATCTGTAAGATTGAGCAGCCAAACACTTACACTTGTGCTTTATCAGGTCAGCTTCCCCAGTTAACCTTTATGGAAGCTAATAACCCTGAAGCCTTATCTCTGTAGCATAAAATTGATTCTACAGCTGGTACATAAAAAAGATGCTTTAAGGATGTTGACTTATACAGGTCATGTCAGCACTGGTTGAGCGTGACGGTGTTATATTGACCACTAATTGAAGCCGGCTGCAGTTTGACTCGACAAGTGTTACTGTGGGAGCCGTACACACATATGTTACATGTAACCTAAACACTTTTTTGAGCAGAAGAGGCACATTTAGACTCTGCAGGATACATAAAATGATTTTGTTGCATTTTTGTGTCCCTATACTCATATCCAAGTCTTATGACTGATGAGTTATTGACTGTTTTACCACCGACATTTTGTCAAACTTTCAAGACGGTGGTATCACAGCAACTGCGAGACACTGAATTTTCAAGACCTTCAAGTGAAAGCTGCATCGCCTGAATCACAGAAGATGGAGGACTGGTTGTTCAGCTTCACAATGCCAAAAATACGCAAAAACTGATGCAACTTTTATCTTCAGAGACGTCACAAGCATCGGGTGGCAAGACTGACAAATGACTGCAGAACCCTGAAAAAAAAAAGTGGATAATCTCCAGCAGACGACTGCACCAAGAGACATAAATAGTTCATGAAACACAGAATGTATACAATAAATAGATATAATAAGAGTAGTAGTAGCAATAATAATAATAACAATAGGTGAATGTTTTGAAAATTTACTTCTTGGGATTTACAGTCACTGGCCACTTTATTAGGTATTCCTGACCAACTGGTCATTAACGCAAATGTTTAGTCAGCCAATCACATGGCAGCAATTTAATGCATTTAGGCATGTAGACTTGGTCAAGACGATCTTCTGCAGTTAAAACTGGGCATCAGAATGGGGTAAAAAGGTGATTTAAGTGACTTTAAATGTGGCATGGTTACATTCAAGTATTTCAGAAACTGCTGATCTACTGGGATTTTCACGCACAACCATCTCTAGGGTTTACAGAAAATGGTCTGAAAAAAAAGAAATGAGTGGCTGTTCTATGGGAGCAAATGTCTTATTGATGCAAAAGGTCTGAGGAGAATGGCCAGACTGGTGCCTTGTATTAATGGTTCAGGCTGGTGGTGGTGGTGTATTGGTGTGTGTATATTTACTTGGCACACTTTGGGCCCGTTAGAACCAATTGCGCATTGCTACAACCTACCTGAGTATTGCTGCTGACTATGTCTATCCCCATATGTCACCACAGTATAGCCATCTTCTGATAGCAGGATAACACACCATGTCATAAAGCGACTCATCTCATACTGGTTTCTTGAACATGACAATGACTTTACTGTACTCAAATGGCCTTCACGGTCACCAGATTTCAATCCAATAGAGCACCTTTGGGATGTGGTGGAACGGGAGATTAGCATCATGGATGTGCAGCTGACAAATCTGCAGCAACTGTGGGATGCTATCATGTCAATATGGACCAAAATCTCTGATGAATATTTCCAGTACCTTGTTGAATCTATGCCACGAAGGATTAAGGCAGTTCTGAAGGCAAAGGGGGTCCAACCCGGTACTAGTAAGGTGTACCTAATAAAGTGGCCGGTGAGTGTATAAGTTAATGGATAATAGCATACAAAGTTTCCAACTACAAAACCAGCACATCTTTTTTCTAACATAGCAACATCAGTACAATGCCAATATAGCTTTGGCTATTATTGAAACAAATATTTAATCAATGCTCGCTTTCAGATGAAAAAGTGATCAGTGATTCATGCCTGCTAAACGTTGTCTATCAAAAACAAAATTGAATGTTTTCACTATGAAGACAAGCTAAATATATTTTCATAGGCTTTTTAATACTGGCATAACTTTATAGATAATGTTATAGAGAATCTACAGCTGGTCAATGTACATGTTTGGGTCCAAAATAATTTGTTCATTCACACACTATATGTATGAATATCAGTTTATAAAAAACAATAATATATTTACCCTTTTGTAAACAAGATTCTGTTTACCTTGTGTTATTTCATCTGTCTCTCTCCATCTCTTTGCAGTAATAGGGCAGCAGGCGACATATTGCTAAGGTACGGTTAATTTGGTAATGGTCTCCCGTGTGGCGAACCGTTAGATTAATAATTAATAAGGCTTATTGAACAGCAGACATGACAAATAGGAGCAAGAGAGAGAGAGAGAGAGAGAAAAGTAGGCATGCTCTAAACGTATGCAACATGGCGAAGGATGAATATATAAGAAACAAGTATAAATAATAAAAGACGCTAAGACACGTTGAAATTAGGCTCACGTAGCATGAGGTCTGGATGCAGAATTAGGTGTCAAGTCACTGGTTGGGAGAGTGCAAGGTAAAGGCTGGCAGTGTGTTGTTTGCGAGTGGAGAAAGTACAGATGGATGTGCTGTTTTAATGAATCTGGATGTGGTGTGGCGTCACAGTGTGGACTCACAGAGCCAATGGGATCAGCTCAGAGCTGCACAGCGCTGACCTTGAAACTGGAATTAGTAGGATGACGCACAGGCCACAGGTGTAGGAAAAGAAGGACAGAACGAGAAATGCAGCTGGAGAGACAGACAGAGAAAAGACAAAGACAAAGTGGGATCAGCCGCAGACTTTTAATGAACACGTAGGGCTCCGCCAAACACGTGCAAACATCTCGTATCGTACACATAGCTACGTGCCAATATTGTGTGAACGGTTTGCTTGACTTCATATGCATGTCGTTTGCTTCCCCTCATGCGTATGTGTCCTTCAGGGGCTGGATGTGATGCAGATGGAGGAGGGGTGGATGAGGAGAGAATGAGAGTCTGCCTGAAATACAGAAAGCAGACACAACTGACGTGAAAGCTGGTAAATGGCATTTTTTGATTAAGTAGACACCATTATAGAATAACAGCAGAACACTTTTCCTGCATTTTGGCCCTTCATTTATGAGGCAGTGGAAACTTCTGTTTTAGTGAAAAGAAACAATCTGTGTTACCTGTTTACCTGTCTATAGGCATGTTTGAGCACATGGCTGTCTGAAAGATTAGGCAGTTGACTTGTTGCCTTACTGACCTATCAGGCATTGACTTTGGAGGCATGCTGTCAAATGGTATTTTATTATTAAAACAGAGATACAATTTATTTGCAACCTATAATTGTGAAAGGGGTCTGGCTGCAGATGCAATCTGAGCTGCGTGCAATGCTTTTGAATGGGCTCACCTAACCCTACCCCTCACAGTGACGTCACTAGCTTAATTGGGTGGATTGTGTCTGACATTGCATCTTTGAGATATGCAATCTCAGCTTGCATCATAATGGCTGCATCCAGATATTATTGATGATTGTACCTCTTAAGGTTCACAGTAGTTCCTTAGGGCAGTAGTTCCCAATTCCAGTCGTCAGGACTCCCTGCCTTGGGTTAAGTCTAGATTGGATACATCTGTGGAGACTCATATCATTCATTCATTCATTCATTCATTTTCCTTTGCTTAGTGCGTTTATTTATCATGGGTCACCACAGCAGAATGAACAGACAACGTATCCAACATATGTTTTACATAGCAGATGCTTTTGCAGTGAGAGGCCCTGGATGCAGACCTGGTGCAGTGCAATCTGAGTTGCATCCAATGCTTTTTAATGCGCTCACCTAACCCCACCCCTAACCCTAACCGTCACAGTGACGTCACTCACTCCATTGAGTGCATTGTGTCTGACATTGCATCGCTGAGTGATGCAATCTCAACTTGCATCATAAAGGCTGCATTCAGATAATATTGCTTGCGGCTGCAACCCAGTTTTAAAAAACATCGATACACACTTATTCACATGCCTTATTTAGTTTGGTTGAATCGCACAAGTTTGTTTTCCTTTTTGGTGCGGTTTGTTTGGGCAGGTGTAAATGTAGCAATCACACTCAGATGTGCACCAAAAGGGGACCAAAAAACTGAGACCTCCTTGAAGAGGTTTAGCTAAATTAATTCACGACTCGCATGCATTTATCTGAAAATAACTGCACACCTGTAAAATGTACATGAACTGCAAAATGTAAAGGAACAACATTTTTTTTGTTTTTCACACTTAAAATATTCAACAAATTATCTAAAAATGTATTAAAAACTATTAAAAAGGCTTCATTTGCATTAAAGGTTTATTGAAGAAATTGTAACATTCCACAAAATATTTTTTAGAGTGGAAAAGGGGGTTTATAAGATTATTGGATTATTTCTTCCAACTAAGAAAATTATTATTATTATTATTATTATTATTATTATTATTATTATTATTATTATTATTATTATTAAACTGTTTAGCATCAGCTTCTTTGTGGAACCCAAATTGGTGCTTCTATGTCATCCAATATCCTTCATTTGAAAACACATTGACAGTCCAGAGTGAGAAGCAGGCGTCTACCATTAGAGTTTTCATGTCATACCTGCTGAAGATAATGTCAGCATTATAAACATAAGAAAGACATAAGAAACATTATAAAAGTTGAGATTTAGGGAAAAATTAACATTGTAGCTTCCATTGACTGCCTTATTCCATTGACTGCCTATAGACTGATATTTATATTTTTTTCTAATTTGAATCTCTCACTATTCTGATGCACAGGCATTTGTAGCTCTGTCCGCTTTTAAAATAAACACAATCTCATTTTAATTTAAAGCAACAGTCACCAAGACAGCACATTTTGGATCAAAGTTTCAGTTTTAAAAAGTTATAAAAAAAAATCATCATATGATATTTTGAGCTGAAACATCACATACACATTCTGAGACTTGTTTTACATCTTGTTAAAAGGGACATAATAGGTCCCCTTTAAAATCAATTCTGTGTAAATTATAGATCTAATTAGATTTCACACAACAACATTCTTTTTATAAGGTTTATAAAGTTGACAGTTTAACAGCTCACAAACATCATGCCATCATAGCAATAAACCAGAAACATGCAAGACATGCTAGTAAATCTGTGAAATGGTGGACATGTAAATCCACTCTCTAAGGTTTTCTGAATGATCCAGCAAAACGAATAGTCTTTTCATAAGCCCAGTTAACACGTTTGCCAATACTGAACTGTGGATTGTTTCCTTTAGGCATGGATACGAGACAGCATGAAATGTTTCTGCGGCTGCATAGACCATGAATATTTAATAAGGTAAGCACCGACGCAGTTTATTATTGGTTGTCTGTTGTTAACAACTCGTAGCATTCTAGATCAATATTGTGCAATTTTATAGACTTTTTGCATCAATCAGAATATGTGTGCAATGTGGCCTAATCAGAGAATATTTATAAGGTTCAAGAAGTTGTGTGACTTGACATATGCTGTGTTTTGTTTGTTTTTGGTAACCTGATTATTTGTATTTTGCACCTATGCTTTATTGAAACAAATCACCCTAGTATGAATATCAAGTCATCATATGCTGGTGTCGTCTCAATGCAGTATATTATTTATTCATACTACAAGAGCTGTAAAAAGTACTGTTTGTGTTCAGCCACATAAAGGAAGTGAATAGTGACAAGCAGTAAGCTTTTAAAAAGATACAAAAGTATTTTTAAAAATGTTTCCTTGCAATGTGTCATATTTTTATTGTTAGGGGTATATAAAGTAGGATTTAATGACAAAAAAACAAAAACGAATTTAACAACAATCTTAAAGGGGCACTATCCACTATGACAATAAAGCATACAACTTGCAAATAAGCAAAAAGAATAAAAGAATAAAACAACAACAAAAATATGCCTGTTTTGACCTTATTCTTCAATGCTAAAGTCCGGACATTTATGCTATTGTTTTAGAACTTCCGATTCAGTTGCCTTTGGGAAAAAATGTCTGGAAATAATAAACTACTTGCTCAAACAACTTGCTCTACAAACAAGTGTGTTCATGACTATACAGACAAAGCAGATTTATATAATAAGACAATATCAGCCAATAAGATTACAATAGCTGAGCCCACACATATGCGAAGAATAAGGTCAATGATATTTTGTCTAGATTTCTTTCTTTGTTCTCAATATTAACAGATACTGTTAACCAGCTAATGACATACCCTTATTTGCAACTTGAACATTACTTGAAAAATCTTTAAAGATCTTTTCAGAAAAAAAATGCTTATCTATATCTCTACCTCTATTCAAATGTCATGTAATATCCCATACCATGACCCCTCAATCAATTTGCTTTTCTGCTTTTCTTTCTTCAAGTTTTAGGCTTGTTTCTAGTCCAAATATCTACAAATTCTTAAAACAATATATATTTTCTTGCAAGAAATTCCAAGATGTCCTCGCTGCAGTCTGTATCATGATGCTGTACTGGACCAGGTCTAATATATAGAGGACCTTGTACCACACACTAAGGTAACACCCATACTACTGTGACAGTTGGGTTTAGGGTTGGGAGAGGTGTAGGTGATCAACCTAGTCCAGTATGTCATCAAGCAGTAAGCTGCGGTGAGGACTGTCTCGGAAATACTGGGTCTCAATCTCTAATAACTGTGATCATTTTTCGCACATTAGAACTTCTCGTGAAATCTTTTCCGTCTAAAGCCTCAATCACACTATGAGCAACTCACAGCCGCAAAGCAATAAGCTAAATTTCAATGAAGAGTGGGTGACTTCCGGTGACTTCCGTCTGAGCTATGGTGACCATTGGTGACCATTGGTGACCAGGTGGGTGTGTCGAGCGACGCGACAAAGTTGAGAATCCTTCAACTTTATGCACATAAAAACAATTCTTGAGCTTATTGTTAGTGATGTAATAAAAGAATCGGTTGTATTCTCTGTGCTGTATAGACCTACACAGACCTGCGTTTGCAGCAGGTCGCCACTCAGAGCGTCAGACAGTTACAAAGTTGCTGCTAATGTGAATGAGGCCTAATTAAGAACACAACAACGTGCATACAGAATGCACATAAGTTTGTTTATAAACTCATTCTTCTGTTACTGAATTTGGAGTGGGCTCTGTTCTTAATTAGTGTCCGCATGCACAAGGTTAGTCATTTGCACCGCACCAGCTGCATATAAGTGGCATTTGTCCTAAAAAAATGTAAATATTTTGCACTTTTATGATGCTAGGCAACCACACTTTATCAACGGTCTTGATGCTCAGGTATCTTTTCTGCACAAAGTTGACTTTTTCCAACTGCAAGAGTGCTGTGATCACCAGTAATGTAGCCCTCATGTGTCACTGTAGAGCACTTTCTATCATTCACTTGAACTACATATCCCATCAAGCCCTGCAGTCACACAACGGTTTCAGGGCACTTGTTCTTGAATGAGCTAGATTCTGTGCCTGACGATCAGGTTGTCATGATCCTATCCTTCGACCACCACCCGTTCCACAATGAATCACACCTTACGGTTCCCCCTGTGGGTGGTGGACCTGCAGGAGGATGGTCACTTTTGCTCCTTCACGCTAAGCCTGGGTTAAAACCTGGCCGCCAGGTGCTCGCATATGAGCCCCAACCCCAGGCCTGGCTCTAGGGTGGGCCCCAGCTGCGCCATACTGGGCGAAGGTATGCACCTCCAAATTCAAGGCCATGATGCTCCACCGGAAACAAGTGGTTTGCCATCTATAGGTTGGGGGAAAGTCTTTACCCCAGGTGGTGGAGTTCAAGTATCTTGGAGTTTTGTTCACAAGTGAGGGAAGAATGGAACGAGAGATTGACAGGTGGATTGGTGCAGTGGCATCAGTAATGCGATCGATGTACTGGTCCGTTGTGGTAAAGAAGAAGCCGAAAGGCAAAGCTCTTGATTTATTGGTCAATCTACGTTTCTACTCTCACCTATGGTCATGAGCTTTTGGTCATGATCGAAAGGACA